TTGTCCATCTGCATGCTATCTACTCTCCCCTGGGAGCCACATTCCTACTCTCCCTGCCTGGAAGGCGGCCTGTCAGCTAATCGCCTTCCCGCCCACTTTGTCCATGCTAGCAGACACATGACTGAGGAGAAATGGCAAGAAACTCAACTCCTGAAACAGGGCCCAACTGATAGGGTCCAGTTCCTGGAATCACAGCAGAGAAGCGGCCTGTCGGGGTGGAGGCCAGCCTTCCCAGGGCTTGGGCTCTGTCTCACATGGCAGGGTTTCAAAGTTCATGTATGCCCCAGCTGGGCTGCCTGCCTCCCACAGAAGTCTAAAGAAATCCAGACCCTAAGGCCCCTTCTTCATCCAGGGATCCTCCCCTGTCCCACAGCTTGAGGGGCTCAGCCTGCTCCTTACCTTCCTCCTCCCCTTCCTCAGTGCACATTCTGCCTGGGGTCACAATTGCTTAGGCTCTCACTTGCCTTAGAGGAACTGAATTGGGCCAGTAGGGGATTTGTCTCGCCCATCCCTTAATAGTAACATCTGCTACTTGCCAACAATCTCTAAATCTGCATTCTTCTTTGCTCCTCACCCTGGGAGGTAGATATTAGGCACAATTATCATTTCCACTCTAGAGATGGGGAGGCCCAATCTTCAAGGGGTAAAGTAACTCACCCAAGGTCACCAGTAGGTGGTGGAGCCAAGAGTATCTGTATCTGTTTAATACCAAAGTGTGTTGAATCAACAAGCCAGGAGTTTTAAACTTGAGGACTATAGCAGTCAAACAGGTAGAATCTGGAAGGACATGCTTGTCTGGGGGAGTTGGTAACTCCCAGCTCTAACTGATTTTGCAATATGAAAATGCAGGCCCACTGTGGCCAAATGAATTTTTCCAGGAAAGTTTGAAATCTACATTTTAGGTGAAATGTCTTGACTTTTAAATTTTGGCAACTAGTTAAAAATAAAAGCAATGCAAACACTAAGCAGCCTAAACAACATATCACTGAGTTGGATGTAGTCATGAGCTAGAAGTCTGAGCCGTGCTTTTACACCATGCTGGATTCCAAGCATGTTAAGTGTTTATGCTAAACAGGAAGTAAGTCAGCCCTACTTCTGAGGACAGTTATATCTGCTGGGGCGGTAGAGAAGAAAGTACAATCCCAAATATTCCTAAGGATGCATCACTTTAAAGGACACCACTCTGGTGTTGCCTGCTGGGGCAGCAGATGGATAGTCAGATGCACACACCAGTCTGCCCTATTTATCAGATGCTCTGAAATGAATCCTCCTTTCATGTCTCCAGAATGAGACCACATCCAGGGAGGAAGGACAGGGTTACATGGTGCTCAGCAAAGACTTCATCTCTCTGAACTGGCCTCTTTGTCTCTCTTTCTCTTAACTGTGGAAGCATTGCAAGGCTCAGCCCTGACACTTCAGCATCTCTCTCTCTCTCTCCAAGGAAAAAAGGGATCTCAGTCCCAGAATTTATTTGACTGTCATCTCTACACCTCACCTAAGGCTTAGGCCAAGTTCACTTTCTCGGAGTATCGGCATGCCCACCCTCCATTTGGCCTCATTTGAGTCATTTACATGATCATCTGCATGGGCAGCTCCAAATCCAGCTTCATTCTTGGAATTTTTCCCCTTCCTCAATCCAAACCCTCAATCAATATCTCATTCTGCCTCTCATCACTTCTTACATGGCCATGGCCATCGATGTCAATGTATGCTTTTAACTGATGTTCCTGAGATAATATTTGGAGATACAAAAGTAGGTCTCCCTCTCCTTTTTTTTTTTTCCTGTGACTTCCCACATTCAAAGTAGACTATGAAGCAACCATCCATTGCTTCAAGAGAGGGTAGAGAGTTAGAGCAAAAGGAAACTGTCCCAGTTCAATCTGAAATTCAAAAACTTGAGGGACCCAGACAGGGAAATTCCTTCTCATACCTTTCTGTCCTAGGAGATAAATATTCCCAATGCTGGGAAACATTGGGAAAGTGTGGAAGGGGAGAAACTGGTGGGTATATGTTAAACCCTGTGTCTTCCTCCTCCACCCAGGCTGATAGATTTAGAGAGCATTTCAGAGCAGAAAAAAATCTCTCCTTTTCCAGAAGGACCCAGCACAGTACAAGTGTTGCGTCGAAATGCCTCATAGGGTGTCCAGAAGATAAGAAATCAACTGTCCTCCCAGAGTATCCTGCAACCCCAGGGGTATGAAAGAACAAGCAGCTTCCCTGGAGAGCTAAAGTCCTCTGGTGGGAGGCAAACGGAGCTGCCCACAGCTGCAAGACCCTTGACTCAATGACCAAGGATTTGTGAGAAGAAGGGAGTCTCAGCAGGTTCCAGGCTGGTAAAACAGGCAACCTGACTTCCCCTCTTTGTCCCCCTTCCCCCCACTCATCAGGACCCTGGAATTCAGAACAATCTTGGGGAGGGTGGAAGGGATGTAGCAAAATCTGAATGGACAGATTATTAATCTATGACCCCCTGAGAAAAGTGTTAAATGGGAACAGTTGTTGCGTCGGACAACACCACACTGACAAACGGGAGATAGGCTGCCTAGGAGTAGCTGACCCACAAACAGTACTTCTTATGACCTGAGCTTATGTCTTGAAATTCATAGTCGCTTCTTGCCACTCTCTATATTCCAGACTATTCTGTATTCCTCAGATAGATTATAAATACCTAAAATACCATGTCACACTTGTGTGGATCCAAAGAGTAACTATTAAATGGTTGCAACAAGCCAGGAGCTGTGTGAGGGGATTAGAAACCTCAAATGGAGAATAATAAGAAAGATGTAAAACAACATTGTACCAAGATGCCATTTTTCAAACAAAAATGCAAAGATTTGATAACGTACTCTGTTAGGGAGGCTGTGGAGAAGTAAGCACTCAATTCAATCACTCCAATTGAAACTGGAAATGCAAATTGGCACAACCCATGTGGAGGGGATTTGACAATACCTAGCAGAGTTACATTGGTATTTGCCTTTTGAACAACTATCCCACTTCTGAGAATTTATACCAAAGGAACATTGGCAAGATGTTTTGGGATGTGTGCACAAGATTATTAATTACAGCACTATTTATAGTAGCAAGCAACCCAAATGCCTATCAATAGGGAACTGGTTAGGTAAATTATGGAATTTGTTATTATTAAAACACACAATGGGGGGTATCCCTGGTGGCACAAGGGGTTAAGCACGGTGCTGTGAAGCAATCCGCAGCCTCTGCAGCACAGAGTTTGATCCCAGGCTGGCCAGGAAGCTACCCACATGGCGCAGCAGACCTCTCCTTTCTCGCCTGCTGCTCCCCTCAGCAGTGTGTTTCAGTCAGTCTGCCTGTTCTGCTCCCCACTCTGCCTCTGGTGAATTCTTTCACACCCCACATCTCTAGCCTGTTTCCCAGCTCTTATATGCATAAATAAATAAAAATCTTAATACACACCCACACACAAACACACACAATGGATTCCCATGCAGCTATAAAAAGGAATGAAAACTATTTCAACATACTATTCTGGAGTGATCTGTTAAATGGAATAAAAGTACAGGATTCTATATACAGTATGCTATATCTTATCTATGAAAGGAGAGATTATTCACCTATTGCACACATTAGTTATGTATTTTTAAAATGCAAGGTAACAAGAGTTAATAACAATTACAGATGAGAGAGAAAATAAAATGGAGAAGACAGGGATGAAAGCAAGACCTCTCTGAATATACCTTCAATTATAGATTTTTACCTCAGGACAATGGAAACACCTTACATAATTTTAAAACAAAATCAAATAGAAAATGCAACCCCTAAAAATTTAAAGTAAATAAAACAATTAAACCAGACTGTGTTTCAATTTAGTGACTTAGTCACATAGGGAAAAAATTATTTCAAATGAATTTAAAACACAATAATTTGATAATATAATTCTACTGAGATATAGCCTTAAGATTAAAAAGAAAACCCTGAATAGAAATATTAAATTGCCTTTCAGTAATTATATTGTTAATAAAATTTCATAATATATGTTTCATAATACATAAAGTAAATATATGTTTATTCTGCAATACACATATAATAGGATAAAGTAAATAAATAATTCACTTTAGGTTCAAGATTTTTAGAATAAGAGAAACAAGACATACATAAGTATACATATGATATATATAATACACATACATACATATATAGCTAAATAAGTTAAGTAAAAAACATATAGTCTTAAATTTTTTTTGTGGGGGGGGAATGAACCAGCGCTACAGAGGCTGCGGGCAGCCTCGCAGCCCAGCGCTCAACGGCTACGCCACCAGTGGAGGCCCTGGTCTTAATTTTTAATTGGAAATCTCAGCATGAGTCCAGGATATATTTTCTCCTAAAATAAAAAATATTTCCCTTCTCTGCTGAAAAGAGCTAGGTACAATGACCCCCACCAAGGAATAATGAGCACCCTTGAGGGCCCATACATTTTTCTCTAAATGTCTTTTCCCACTAAAAGGAATCAGAGCTCCCAATTTCAGGATTATAGTAGGAATTGAACAAGATGAGCATGGAAATCATGGAAATGATATCAGTGATTGCTGAGATTATATAAAAAGGACACAGGAACCCTCTTGAAGGGACTCCCATTGGCCAAACATGGGACAACTGAACATCAAAATGAGTAGAATTTAATGAACTCAAACACATTGAACATATGAAAATCTGCAAGTTCATAATACCAATGAACTAATAGATCAACTTTAAAAATATACCTTTCCCTTTGTTGAGGTAACACTGGCTTACAACACTATGATTTAGGGGAACAGGTTCAAACCTCTTCAGATGTATGTTATCACCTCACCGCCATCATCCAAGCACCCACAGTCTTTTACCCTAGACCACTGGGCCCCATCCCTCCTTACTCCTCCCTCTATTCCTTCCCTCCCTCTCTCATAGTAATTGGTCAAATTTGGAGTATGCTAGGCAACTAACTCACAACTCTGAAAACTTACAAAGAGGACATTAGACATTTAACCCACCTTTTTAGGCTTGTTGTGGAAAAGAATTCTAGTCTGTAAATGAAAAAGGATATATAGAATCAGAACATCACCAGTTTAAGCCTGGGTATTACAATGGGACTAGGCAGTATCAATGACTGCTATCCCGATAACAATGGTTGCTAAAGCCATTAGTTAAAGAACTTCATGATGAATGAATCGGGCTGATAACACTTGATCAAACTCAAGATAACAAAAAGAAAGATGACCCAACACTGCATGCCTGCTGATGTGATGTGTTTAGAAACACATCACATCAGCACTTATAAAGTATTCCTCCAAAAATAAACCAGAATCTAATCAAACTTTAAGAGCTAACTATAGTTTCCAGGAGAGCAAGGGGACAAAAAACATGTTAATTGACATCATTCAGATGAAGTTTGCAAAATTCAGAATGTTGCACATAAATGCAAGGGGAAAAGAGGAAAGGGAAGTTATAGTTTTTAAGAAACAAGTAAGAACATTGACTAAATATAATTTTTGAATTTTGCTTGAATCTTGATCAAGTACAGAAATTTTTTATTAAAAGACCATTGAGAAAATTTACTATATGAATAATATTAGGAAATTGTTATAGAATATTAGGTGATAATTTTTGCCATTATGATAAAAAGTCAATCTCTGACCTGGCATTGAGTGCCTTGCCCTTGAACCAAAATCTTGGTTTAAGTCCTAGGCCTGCCACTTACTAAGCTGTGTATCATTAAGGAAGTCATTGTATGGCTCAGAACCATCAGTAAAATGGGTATATAATAATGTCCCACTTCACTGGATAATTGTGAAAATAGGAGTTGATAAAGGTGGGAGCATGTTAGAAACCATATAAACTGTCTCCTATGATGAATCTACAGGATTCCATCAAGTCTAGTGGAGTTTTTCCTTTGTTCGTGTAATTTTCCCACTCAGAGTTTCTTCCTCTCTCTTGTCTGCTTATGAATGTCTCTTCCTACTAGCTCCAGCCTGTTTGATCTTCTCTCCATGAAACCCTTGCTAATCATTTCAGCCCATGATAAATTGTTTCCTCTTCTTCTCAAAGCCCATGCATGACATTTTATTTTATTTTATTTGTAAAGATTTTATCCATTTTTGCATACAAGAACTGGAGTACAGGCCAGAGGTACGGGGGGGGGGGGCGAGAGGATCCAACAGAAACAGAGTGCGATACAGAACAGGCAGACTGAAATACACTGCTGCTGGGACAGCGGGCAACACAGGAGAAGTCTGCTGCACCATGTGGGCAGCTCCCTGGCCGGTTGGGGATTGATCTCATGCTGCAGAGTTTGCAGACAACTTCACAGTGCTGTATTCAACCCCTTGCAGCACTAGGGAGGCCCTTGCATGGCATTTTGAAATGATATTTCTGGGTACAACGGTCTTCCCAACATGGACTCTTGACAACAGGAACTGTATCATTTATCTGTTATTCCCTCCACCACAGATCCTAGTGCGATGTTTATATAAAAGAATGTAATTGCTATTGATGCGTCTTTATGTCCACTGATTCTTTCTTCTGTCACTTCCATTGTGCTGTTGGAACCTTTCATTGAGTTTTTATTTCAGTTACTATTATGATGATGATTATATTTTTGTTCTAAAATTCCCATCTGTTTCTTCTTCATATCTTATATTTCTATACTGTGACTTTCTTTTTTCTTTTTTTTTTTTTAAACATTTGTGCTTTATTTATTTTAATTTATACAAGCACTGGGTACAGAAGCGTGGGAGGGTGAGAGAATTCACCAGAGCCAGAGCAGGGAGCAGAGCAGGCAGAAGGACTGAAGTGCACTGCTGAGGGGAGCAGCGGGCGGCAGGAGAGGTCTGCACGCCATGTGGGACGCTCCTCAGGTGGCCAGGGAGCAGTGGGGGGATCGAACCAGCGCTGCAGAGGCTGCGGGCAGCTTCGCAACCCAGTGCTCAACCGCTGCGCCACCTGGGAGGCCCTATACTGAGACTTTCTATCTTTCCATTCATGTCAAAAGAATTTGATCCTTCAAAAGCATACCATCATGCCAGCTGACAAAAGAAAAATATTTAGAAGACCCATATCCATTATCAGAAAGCAGGCAAAAAAGAATGAATCTGGAGTTAAGAGGCAATAGCCTGATAACCTGCAAAGGTCATTACTTCTTTAGCAGATGTGTCTTCTGCTTTCATGAATAGTGATATCACCACAAACTCCATGTCAATAAGACCCAACATCTGGGTCATCTAAGCATTGACATGTATTGGTGGTGCTTTCCCATGCAAGTTGGCATTTGTCTGGTTCTTTTTGTGCCAAGTAATTTTGAATTGTGTTCTGCACATTTTGATTATTATGCTATGAGACTTTTGGTCTTATTTAAAGCTTATGAAGAATGTGACTATTTTTGTCATAGCAGCCAATGAACCTGATTAAGTTCAGGCCTCAAGTTCCAACCTGTTGTCCTAGGTTGTGGTTCCAAAAAACAACTCAGTTTTCAAAAGTTTTTGCATTTCTATTTGATCTGTCTGTACAAGCACCCTCTACTGACTGGACTGGCTGCTCGGCAGGGTCTATCTGTTAGTGTTTTGATCTTGTGTTCACTCTATTTGCACCTCCCACAATTGCCCTTAACTTTAAGTCCAAGCTGTGCGAGAACTGGAGGGGAAGAGGTAAACTCACTGCCAGTTCGATGGTACATCAGATTCTAGTCTCCTTCCTCAAGTTGCTTACTATTACTTACTTTTCAGTGTCCTCAGCATTCCATGAATTCTCTCCAGGTATTGTAGTTGCATTTCACTGGGAGAGACAGGGTAGTGTGCTTACTCCATCCAACTGGGTACTCGAACACACTGTTTTAGAGGATGCTCTTCAAGGTTCTGTACATAAAGACTCATCTTAAACCTCAATCAAAAAAAAGAAAAAGAAAAAGAAACGTGATTCAGACCTCAGATTAGAAAAAAAAATTGTTCAGACATTATTTTACTCAGACTTATTAATCCTCCCCTTTTGCCCCAGGTTATTGAAGAGCTCAGAAAAAAAGTATTTGTTTTTTTTTTTTTTTTTTTTTAAATAATAAATTTTATTTTTATATTCCCCCATACAATTGCAAACGCCCCATTCTGACCCCAATCCTTCCCCTCCCGCCCCCCATCCCCCAAAAAGTGTCTCTGGTTCATAGTTTTTTGTTGATTTTGATTTTCACTTTCTTATATTCATTTTCCTGGTCCCTTATTTAAGTTTTCTAGATTCCTGCTATGAGTGAGACCATCCGGTATTTTTCTTTTTCTTTTTGGCTTATTTCGCTGAGCATGATCCCTTCCAGCGCCATCCATGTTGCTGCAAATTGCATGTGTTTATCTTTTTTGAATGCTGAGTAATATTCCATGGTATATATGTACCACATCTTCTTGATCCAGTCATCTATTTTTGGGCATTTGGGTTGTTTCCAAAGCTTAGCTATTGTAAACAGTGCTGCTATAAACATAGGGGTGCAGGTGCTCTTTGGAATTGATGTTTCTGTGTCCTTTGGGTAAATACCTAGGAGTGGAATTGCTGGATCATATGGAAGCTCTATGTTTAGTAGGTCCAGAAATCTCCACACACCTCTCCATAGTGGTTGGATCAGTTTGCACTCCCACCAACAGTGCAGAAGAGTTCCTTTTTCTCCACACCCTCGCCAACATTTGTTGTTGCTAGTTTTTTTAATATGTGCCATTCTCACTGGTGTGAGATGGTATCTCATGGTAGTTTTGATTTGCATTTCCCTGATTACAAGTGATGTTGAACATTTTTTTCATATGTCTGTTGGCCATTTGCATTTCCTCTTCAGAGAAGTTTCTTTTTAGCTCTTCTGCCCATTTTTTGACTGGGTTATTTTCTTTGTTGTTGCTGAGTCTCATCAGCTCTTTGCAGATTTTTGTGATCAGTCCTTTATCATTAGCGTTGTGTGCAAAAATGTTCTCCCAGTTGGTGGGGTTTCTCTTTGTTTTTGTTATTGTCTCTTTTGCTGTGCAGAAGCTCTTTAATTTGATGTAGTCCCAGCTGTTTATCTTTGCCTTCACTATCACTGCTTTGGGTGATGTGTCTGTAAAGATGTCTTTGATGTGCAAATCCCGTAGTGTTTCGCCTATATTTCCTTCTATGTATTTTATGGTTTCAGGTCTTATGTCTAGTTCTTTAATCCATTTTGAGTTGATTTTTGTGTATGGTGTGAGGTAGTGGTCAAGCTTCATTCTTTTGCATGTAGCGACCCAGTTTTCCCAGCACCATTTATTGAACAAACTTTCTTTGCTCCAATGCATAGTCTTTGCTCCTTTGTCAAAGATTAGTTGACCATAAATCTGTGGGTTTAAGAAAAAAAGTATTTGACTCACATAATCAAACTGATGTATCCAGCACAGAGATGTTTGGTAAACGGTGATCTCCGTATCTACCTGACTATTCTGTTATCCACCAAGAGCTAAATTTTATGCTCAGGAGAAGAAACCTTCCTCAGCGTGGCTTTTGATATAATTTTTCCTCATACCTATGCCTTTTATTACTTGGCTTTTTCTTGCTGTTCTGTGATAGTAGTTTGGGGAATTATTTTCACCATATTAATCTTATGAATTGCCTCAAATTCTGTTTGGAAGCAGTCAAGGTGTAAATGAGAAAATGCTGTATTTGTGGAATGCTTCATATTCCCAAGGCTGCTTTCACACCTGTTTCCATATTTAGTTCTAAAAAACACTCCCTGTGAGTAAGGAAGAAAAGGTAGCACAAGCTTCCTCTGCAGAAAAGAAAGCTGGTATCTTGCCAGGACAGGTTGGCTTGAGAATTCTTTATGCACCTCTTCTGCTCAACCAGAGATGAACTGTTTTACATTTGTCTTCTAAGACTGTGCTGAAGCTGCAGACTGTTTAGAATCTGTCCTGGAGAACTGCAAGTATTCTCTTGGACCCCAGGCCCCAGGAAAACGAAGCTTAGGACTTCCCCACCAAGCATTCTTTTCTCAGAATAACCCATCCCCGTGGGATACAGGAACCCCTAGGGATGTGGGAGGCTTGATGTCACTTGAGGAAGCATAGTGATATCATTCCAATCTGATGTAGAATAGGGACTCATCTCATGAACTTGTCTACTTGTTGGATTCTCCACTCTTACTTTTGCCATGAACCCAAGTATCTCCTCTTGGGTTGGTGCAAAGAGGTGAGACAGAAAATGACCTCAGGTGACACATGTGAGGATGATAGTCACAACTCTTTCCTATTATTCATCTATACTCTGGGGCTCCCCTTTTCAGTTCAAAAGGAGAAGAGAAGAGAATGACCTTGATCATTGCAGAGGCAGGATGAATCCAGCACCTGGGATAGCCTCTCTTCTTCCCTCCCTTCCTTCCTAGTCACACTCTGGGGCAAAGACTGCAGCCATCTCCTTCTGCTGGGGAGTCCAGCCAAGAGAGACTTACTTGACTTTGGCGGTCTTGGGGAAGTGACATCAATAAGCAGGATGCTAGTGGGGAGAGCTACTCAGGATGTTTCTTAAAATCCTCTTTCCCCATTTCCCAGTGAGTTTTAGCAACCACAGCCAGGCATCCCTTACATCCCTAGGGCTCAGCTTGATCTGAGGTGTGCCCACTCCCAGAGTACTAGAAATGTTTGTACATGGTCAAGATCAAAAGACTTGCACTTGAAGCAGGGGTGATTTTGAGTGAATCTGAGCCTGTTGTTCAGATATCCTTTAGCCACATTCCCATGGACTCACACCTCAATTTCAAGGGGGCATGAGTATAGTGTTACAAATCAGGCAGAAGTCATTTCCTTCTCCCTGGATCCGTTCCCTTTGCAATGTGACTTTGTAGCTCCCATCAAGAAGTGGAGTCCATGTCCTTCTCCCGGATGCTGAGCTAGTCCTATAGCTTTCTTTTGTCTGCCAGATCTGAGCACAGACTCAAGGGGCAAACACACTTCAGTTATTTCTCTTGGTTCTCCTTCCTCATTCCCGTGAATGAGTCTGATATAGCCATTGGAGGGCAAGAGACTTATTCTGAACGTGTAAAAGAGACCAATCAGGATCAGCAAATATGATCCATTCCTGCTTTGAACAGGAGGAAACCAGTCAAGACCAGAAAATTTTCCCACATAATTCTAGCCTAAATTGTCGACCTTTATAATAATAATCATGGAGGAAAGAGATGCTTATTGTTTTAGGCCACTGAATTTTGGGGGTAGTTTATTACATAGTACTAATGAACCAATGCAGAGACTGAGCACTAAACTGTATTTTTCTACCATTTGTTGTGATATTGGAAGCACAACATTTGAATGACACCAGTCAGTCAACAGATAGTGACAGGAAAGGATGGGCTTATTTGTAGTTCAGGTTGTGTCTTAAGATAACTGTTGTTGGTTGAGCTTTCAGCAGTAATGGAGCAGCCAAAACAGGAAGAAAATCCAATATAGGGATTCCTCTGGGGAAGAAGCTCTCATAAAACTATTTCCAGGGGCTCCCAGAAATATTTAGGAAAAAATATGAAGGGGCTGGAGGTCTCAAAGAGTAGCTGTTGTTGGAGCCAGAGACCACAAAACTTGAATGTTACATATAAGGATATGCTGCTTAAACACTTTCTCTCCCCAAATAGGAAACTTTAACTTCCCAAAAGACATAAGAAATTGGAAGTTTTCATAAACATATTACACAAAAATTCTTCCAGTGTGTATATGTGGTGGAGATCACTAGGTTGTGGTTACTTTATTCTTTCTGTATTTTTTTCCTAATAATTTCTTTGCCAGTTCTTTGGGGATAGTTAAGCCTAGAGAATGAGAAATGAGTGTAAAGTCTGACATAGTAATATTTATCACATATTCTCTGTAAACATGAATGAAATGAAGTGCACAACAGCAAAGATTAAGTTATCATGGTAGAGAAGTCTGACGCTCACTCATACTTGGTTTCTGCTTTCCGGCAAGTGTGCAGTTACTCGACCTGCTCCCCTGGCAGAGGGGGAGGCCACACGCCTGGGTATGGTCACTGGGTGATGAAGAGCAATGATCCTGTCATTTCTGAGCTGAAGCTTTTTTTATTTAAGCCCTCCACCACATTTCCCCTGCCACACTGACTGAGAGGCCATGTGTCGCTGAGGATGAAGCCGCAGGGTGGGGGCATCTGTTTCTGCCTGGTTCAGTCATCCCACTGGGGGCAGCTGCCCTAGAAGTCACTCAGACCTGCAGTGATTTCACAAGAATGTTAAAGCCACTTGGGTTGCGTCAAGCCACTGGTGTCTTTGTGTTTTTTGTTCCTAATGCATTCCCTGACCTAGTCTGACTTACAGTATTGAAAACCTGAAATTTTAAAAATCCAATTTTGTTTTTAAAAAGCTAAATGCTGCAAATAAATTACAAAAACGTGGGGAAAAATTGTGCTATTGTCAAATACAGATTATACATGGTTTAATTTTTGGCAAGTAAGGTCTAGCGTTCAGAGGAATGTCCATGAAACATTATGAGCATGAAGATGATAATGGGGATTTTATCCATTTGGCAGGAGTCAGGGCAAAATCTGATAATGTTATGGCAGAATGTTTATGTATAATCTAAATGTTGACAAATAATATGGCACCTATCTAGGGTATGAAATACAACACTAAATAATTAGAACTGTGCAGACACAACGAATGAGATCAGTCTAAATAAGGTAAGAAGAGCTGAATATTACTTGTTATGTTTTTGGCTACAAATCTTGTGTATTTGAGACACAACCGTTGATGAGTACAGAATACATAATTTTTGTTAGACTTGTGGATTTTCAAAATGCAAGTATTTCTTATGTAAACGTGTTTGGGGATTTTTTTCCTCAGTAGATAACACAACTGGAGTGGGATTACGAACAGTTTTAGTAGACCATTTACAAAAGCAATTAAAAATAAAGTAATTTAAGGGACTATAGATATCACAATACTATAAATAGGCATGGAAAACAGGACAGATGATTCCAAGGTAATTCTAGGGCGTTTTCTGTTCCTTGACTATGAATATTTTAATCTTGGTAGTGAATGGTCATGAAAATCTCTTCTGACACTGCTGAATTCTTTTATACCATCCAAGGCCTATACAACTGCTTTTCAGCTTCAGTAAAATGTTGTGTATTAAAAGCACATTGACCAAACATAAATTTGAAACATTGTCAAAGGCAGGATGGAGAAGTTGAGTTTATGCCATTATAGTACTAAAAACTCAATTCTTTTTAGGTAAGTTGTATATTAATAAAGATCAAGCTAAAGGTATGCTTTCAAAAACATCCATGTTAAATTTATTTTCTCAGGACTAATTTATGTTTCACGTAAAATTAATGCTATTTGCAAAATAATATAGGAGCTGAAAGTCAACATATTGCCCTAGGGAAGGATCCAAAAAGTGATGTATCCACAGTTTCCTCCTCCTGGAGCCTCAGGAGGCTACTGGAGTCTGGACTCAAGAGGAAACCATCCTCTGGAAGATGAGCCTGACTTGCAACATAACAGGCAAAAAACCAATCATGAAGGACCCTTGTGGAAGGGCTTATGCCATTGAGATACTAGAATTTTCCTGTCTGTTGGCTGGTGGTCACTGATCTTTTCTGTATGGACCTTTTGTTAATCCCAGGCCTTCATTAAAACTGTCAAACTCCATAGACTTGGCACAGGTCCACACTCAAAGCAGCTTTTCCACACCAGCCCAGGAGCCTATGACCACGCAGCAAGAGAGAACTAGAGATGCATCCAGAATAGCTGGCTGAGGTGACAACCCACCACAGTTCCTAGAGCAGTGCTTCCCACCAGTGTGCAATCTGTCACAAGCAAACATCCTTGTGTTTGTGTGTGCAGCCATACAAAGCAATTGAACGTGTTTGACTCTGTCATTTCATTCAGGTTCCATAGATTTTTTTTTTGAGTAATTACTCCATGCCACCCCTTATTTAAGTTCTTTGAGTGTACTAATTAATTTAATCTGAACAGTCATCCTGTTATTGTGCCCATTTTATAGATTAGGAAACTGAGGCCCAGGAGGTTATACTAATTATCTAAGGTCAAGTTGAATGCTAGGTAGGACTTTGTTCCTTGTCTCCAACACTCTGTTTCCAGAGCCTATATTCTTCTTCAGGATATGAGAGAATATGGACATTACCCTTATAATCAAAAGTTTCACCAATGGTGTTTGGAATTTTCATCCCGTAAAGAAAAAGAAAAACCAAAAATTTTTCCCCCAAGAGGGAAATCCAAAACCTGCCACCAGCTTGAAACTAGTTTGCAACTGCTCCAGATCATCAGGAATTTCAGCATGTTGACACCCAGCCTCAGAACTGAGCCCTCAGTTGGGTCACACCATATCCCCAATGACACCTCTTCTGCTCTCTGTCTCCCACACAGACTTTGGGTTTTTCTGTCTCTGAGGGTGGGCTAAGTATCTGTAATGCTACACAACTGTCAGAAAAACCTGCTGGCACCCCATCAGCAGAGGGTAAGGCCATCGTGGATGGTTTTGCTTACAATATGGAGATGAATGGAGAATGCTTCTTTCCAGGGCCCCACAGTAACTGCTTGGGAAGGGAAGTTACCCTCCCATCATGAGCCAAAATTTTGTCTACATCTTAAGACCTGACTTGCCAAAGACAAGAGGCACCAAGTTATGTTGACCAACTTGTCTGGCTTTATTTGGAACTTTCTAAGTTTTATCACCTGGGAGGCCCCTAAGTCCTGGGCAAACCTGTACAGTCAGTCCCCTGATCAAACAGAAGGAAGTAAGTGAAACTTTTTTCGCCATAGCTCCAAACCTGGAAGGCTATAACCCTCCCCCACCCCATTGCTCCATGGAATCCAGGAGATCCCCAAACTATCACTCCTGGGATATAGACCAGTCCTCAGTGCTCTCCATACAAGGGGACATGACATCCCCTGGGAGTGCTGAGAAAAAGTCATTGAGGGCACAGCTCCCAAATTCCGTCCTTATGTTCCCATCTCCCCAGAGGCTAAAAAAGTTTGACACTGGGAGATGAAGCTGCTTGGCAGCTGGAGTCACTCCTAGCCTGGGGCAAATTTTCCAGGCTTTTACATCTTTGAATGAGATGGCAATATTTCCCCTTCATTCCACATGGCCTGGGGTCAGAGACCCAGGGAGTTGGCCAAAATGCCTTTCTCTGTGACAAAAAAAAAAAAAAAAAAAAGACCACAGGGTTAACTCTCATGCATTGATGTACAGGTGACAAACACTTGGTATAATTTGGCTGGGACCCATAAGAAGTCGTGAACACCGCTGTCCCTAACGGATTCTCCAGCAAGGTCATGGTCCTCAGTGCAGCTACAGATACTCACTGTACATAATCCACATCCCATCTAATAATATAAGCAAATAAATGCTGAACATTCAGAGAAAACAACTCACCAATCCATCAAAATCCTTGGGGTAAATTAGTTCAGCAGACTGGACTAGAGACATGCTCTGTGACTCACCCTCACCCAGAGTAAATAAGGGAAGATTAAGCACAAGTTGATTGAATCATGCTGAAGCTTGGCATAGCTCAACAAACAGATCAGCCTGAAATCTCACATTAGGAACACATAATCTCATAAAATTTATGACTGTTATTGCTCACCACATATGTTTCTGGGTTACTGTGTGCTGGGCTCCGAACAAGATGCATCGCTGGGGTCTTAAGGGGCCAGCCCACTGATCCACAATGTATTTCAGGAAAAAAGACACGTTCCTGGTTGACACTCTTGGCAAGATCTTCAACGTCGCCTGGCTGCTGCAAGGAAGGGGGCTGGCAGGGGGATATTGGGAATAGGGAAGGAGGTTTATATGATGCCCTAAGCAGGCCTCTTTGCAAGCTCTATTTGGGATGTGATTTGGTGCAGAGACTAGTAGGCAATCTTTCCCTCTCTAGACCTCTGTTTCCTCATCTGTAAAAGAAGAGATTAGATTTAGATGGTCTCTAAAGTCTTTGCAAGGCTTACATTATCAAGCTTATATTAGCTACAGAAGACTGAGGAGACAACTTAAAGAGAAATCAGAACCAAATGCCATCAACTAAGATCAGTAGAGAATAGGGGAGTAGGCGACATGGGTATGATGTACTGAAGGCAGGGGTGGGTACCAGAGGTGGTGGAATGGTGGTTCTGATAACCTGGGAGGAAAAGTTAGATGGCCGACTGCCTTGAGAAGTGTCTTGCTGCCCAAAACAAAAACAGTCAGAAAATGGTTTCCAAACTTGTATCAACATCATTTTATCTTCCGCTGCCAATTGACTTAGGCACTGCTTCCCTCTGAGCCCAAACACAACCTCAGAATCCTCAACACAAAGCCAATGCACACCCACTAGATTGGCAAGTGAGAGAGAGCTGCTTTCCAACCTGAATGACTCTAAGGCTCCTCCAGGTGCAGGGTCAGAGATTCGAAGTCAGGTGCTAGGGACTCAAATACAGTCCATGGCAAGCAAAAGAGGGAGAAAAGGACTTTTACTTGCAGGAGATGGTCGCTGAGGTTTGAGTCTGGGACCTTGGAGGATGAAAGAGGTTGAGCCCCATAGGCCCTTAGTCCAGAGCAGGGCAGAAGATACCCAAGCCCTGAGGTCATGTCCCCAGACACCCCACCCGCACCCCAGGGAGCTCACATGTAGAAGAAGCCGGTACCTGCTGTGCCAAGGTTGGTGTCTCGCAACTCCTCCCTCCCTGCACCCATCCTGGGCTCTGTCCTGAACATTTCATCTCAGCAATCCTCATGCTCCTCTTTGCACTCTCTGCCAATGGCCAAGGTCTGACCTTCTGACCCTCAGGCCCTCTTTCAGGCTTTTCCTGTTCAATTTCCAGCACTGCTTGCTCCATCCAGAAAGAGTTTTGAACAAGAGAGTAACATTTTTCTTCCTGGCTCCTTCATTTTCATTATCATCTTCACAGCCAATTCCAATAAATCTGCTACACTGAAAGTCCCTATTCATCATCCATCTTCTCAATAGCCCTAGATTTAATTTGAAATCTACTTCTGTTAATATTGTCTTTGTAAAAAGAAAGAAGATGATTTTGTTTTTTCTGATTGTAAGTCAGATATCAGCTGAGGATTGCTCTGCCCCTCAACATCTGTGAAATGTCTTACAGCAGATTGTATTGTTGAACATGGACGAAGCCATATTTTCAAACTCACATGCTCATTCCAGAACCTGTGACTCCTCCATAAGAGATGGTGCCTGTGTCATCTCCTCTGGAGCCTGGATAAGTCTTTCAGCTGCTTTGACTAATAAGATGAAATGGAGTGACTGCGTGACCTCCATAGTGGGGTGGGAGAGGCGATATAGCTTCGACCTGGCTCGCACACTCACAGGACACATAACTTTGGAGCCATCAACAAACTTGTAAACAGAGGCCCAGCTGGAGACACCACATGGAGAGACCACAGAGAGAGAGAAATTTTCAAGGAGCTCCTGCTATTCCAGTCCCAACTGACTGCGCCTCTCCAGCCCAGGTACCAGACATTAGTGGGGAGCCCTCACCACAACCATAGCTGCAACGCCATTTCTAAATGCACCTGTGCACAGTAGGGGACCACCATCTCGACTCAAGCAAGAAACTTGTGCTGAGTTCACTCAATTCCCAGCACCATGAGAGATAATAACAAATGATTGTTACGGCTTTGCACCACTAAGTTGAGATGGTTTGTGAGGCAGCAATAGATAACCAGGCAACTCTGAATGAGCTTGGAGCAGTTCTCTGCTTCAAGGAGCTCCAGAAGCTTCCCGAGATTTCTTCTGGTTCCTGGAGGAACAAAATGGATTATGCATATGGGTCATATGTCCTCAGATGCTGGCACATTAATGCTTTGTGAAATCTGGCCCCAAATTCAGTTTCCACAATAGAAATCACTCGTACAAGCATTCGAGGAATAGACTTCATGGAAAATCCAAAGCCATGACACCAACCACATGAATTCCTGTCAACTTGCTGCCTCTCTCCCTACTCCCTCACTTCTACCCATTCTTACCCTGCCTCTCAGTTTGCTCTGGGAACCCAAATTCTTCTCCTGCTATAAAGAGTAATTCAGTTACTCCCAAGCTCCTAACCCAAACCTTCCTCACTTAAGAGCATTAAGGATCCAGCCTTTAGTGGAACCTGCTGAAGTTACAATTGGCAATTTTTCTTATGTGCACATGCATTTGTAAAGAAATATTTAAAGAACACACAGCTAAATTAAAGTAAAAAATCACCCCCAAATCCCATCACCCAGATATAACTGCTATAAACCTTTTTGATAAACATCCTAGTAGCACATCTCACTGAGTGCCCTTAGTACACAAATGGGCTCAACTGTCCTTGCTGCTCTATATTTCCCCATCCAGCTTTAGTACTGACAGTTTTCCTCTTTGTTTAGAACCAGATATGTACTTAGCAGTTGCATAAAGGAGACTCCATCTAATCCTTACCACAGCCTCCAGGTGCAAGCTCATCACTATTATCTCCCCTTTCAATAGACACTTTGGTGAAAGCAGAACTGAATTGCCAACCAATGGCCTGAGCTCTTTCCACTAAACCGTTGGCTCATCCCTGAATCCTTTTTCTAAATCTACATATCAGTGTGGAGGGCCAACCTGGCTCTGCAGATCTGGAGCCCAATCTAGTGCCTGACAAATCCCTGTCTCCTCTTTCCAACAGCTAAGATGCTCAGAGCTCCCTGGCTCATTTGTTTGGCAGGGCTGAGTCTAGGAGATGAGAGGAGAGGAGGTTTAGGCCCCCTAGGAACACAAAGGAGTCTCTCTGCCCCCATGTCTGTAGGACTGAGAGACCTCTACTGTCCAGAGTCTAGAGGTGGCTTCTGGCAAATAGCAATGTCATTTGCCCCCTCCCCAACCCTGCGAATCTTTGTCCTGAGTCTCCAGGGCTGCATCTGTGCAGGGCCAGCTGTTCAAGGAGAATATGTCTGGGGCCAGTCTGTGCTGTTCCCTCAGCCCTAGAAGAGGCTCTGCCAGGTGGGACTTACTTGTCCCTGGGAAGGAAGATGAAACGTGCTCTGTCAACCTTCCCTGATAGCACATTTTCCAAGCAGAGCCCTGGGAGACCAATAACGGCTCTGTCCCCTCCCAGGGGGACTCAGGGTGGGAGGCTGAGGTGGGGACTGCAGACTGTGTGCACTACATCCCCAGAAGAGAAGAAACAGCCTCCAGGGAGGGCCTGACCTCTCCTTTGGCAGCTTTCAGGGGCCTTGAGCTCACTGTGAAGAATTCAAAACCGAGTTATCAGTCTCTCCCCAGCTGTTCTCACAGCTGCTGGTACTTGAGGGAGGCCAAGGGCAGCTGAATCCTCCTCTGTCCCCACTCTCACACCCGCATCACCCCACTTGAAGCTGGGCCCTACTTGCTGGAGTTCCCTTTGACACTAGAGGCTGTCAGACATTAAGTTCAGTGAAGGAGTTAAGTCAGGCAGTGAGTCCATAAGCCCGAGATTCGAATCTGTGTTGCCCACTTATTAACTAGCCATCCTAGATAATTTGCTTAATTCTTTGACCATGGGAATCCCCATCATCTTCATTTCATTTCCTTTGCAGAGTACACTTGAGAGAGTGGTTGTAGTGCAAGTAGTTTGATTGCAGAGTGGTGGGCCAGTGGGCAAGGAAGGAAAATAAACCAATGCAAGATGCATCATCAAGTAAATGGGCAAAGTGTGTGCTTAATCCCCTGGAACTCTTGCAGACAGGGTAGAACAAGCATCCTGGAATTACTCACCACCATGCCCAGGGACAAGGGAGCTGAGGCACTGACCCACCAACTCCCATCAGTTAATCATTGGTTGAGGGCTGCCCCTGGGGGGTGGTCATGGGCCATCATGAGTCTCTCTGGCCAGCCCCATACACAGGAAGAGCATGTCCCCGAAGTCAGAGAAGTCCTTCAGCTGAGTCACAGTACACAGCCAAGGAGATATAACGATATAAGGAGAAGTTTTCTGGCAATGTCCATTCTTCTTTCCTTCTTCTTCCTGGCTGATACACAGACACACACTTGGAGGCACCGTAGTCCTTTTGAGACTATGAGGTAACTGTGTGAGGAAAAGACGAGACTATCACACAGAAATCAGCCCTCACTTCCTTGAGCCATCAGCTGCACCTCCAAACAACTGCCTCCTGGCTATTTATTACAATGACTCCAGTGGAGTCTTCTGTTACTTGCAACTGAATGCAACTCCTTATTGAAACCAGGTGGGGGACCACTGACTCTGAGGAGCTGCGAAGGATAAATACCCTGCTGCAAATAAAAGAAAACATCTCTCTCCAGTAAGAAGGATGCCTGGAACTCTCCTGTGAAAGAAGGGCTTGGACCAGGTGGCAGCAAAGGACGGTTCCAACCCTGGTGTCCAACATGGTCTCCAAGCAGAAGAAAAGGCCACAGGTAACATCCAATGAGCCCAGCCCAGCCCTCTGCTTCAGCTGAGGGGGTGAGAGTTCCAGAGACTGTTCCAGGCTATTGCTAGAACTTTTGCCAAACTTCTGGACAAAAGGACCACTGGACAGGGAGTGAGACCTCACTTAGCAGAGGCTTTGGGCCTGAAGGAGGCTGAAAGTGTGCATAAGTCAAGCAAGTGCAAGACCTACTGGCAATGAAAACCAAAGAGGAGGGGTAGTGCCGTTTAGCTCTGAAGAGTAGGTTGCCGTGAATGTATGTGTGGTAGGGGGAGTAGTTATGGAGCTGATTTTAGATACCAGAACAGTAGCAGATGGGGAAGAATCATCTTCCTCCTAATCTGCTGGAGATTTGAAATTCACAGAAGCATTCGTCTGCTGGCACATGCATGTGTGCGCATGTTGGCATGTGTATGCACACGAGTTCATGTGTGGTGTGACTGATGACCCCTGAGCTTCCAGGCTGGCAGAGAGGAAATCTTTGCACTCTCACATCCTAGTCCTGGTGGGCAGGAGGACCTCCAGATGGCACCTGGCTTGCAGATGAAAGAAGGGAGGGAATGACCAAGTGCCCACCTTGTGTTGGATGCTGTGCTGGCAATCTAAACACACACCCACTCACAGAAAGCCCACAAGGTAGAGGTGAACAAACTCACTTGACAGATTTAAAGGCAGAACTTGAGGAGACCAGGACTCAGGACTGGCAGGGCCACTGTATTCTATTCCTGCTTCCATGCCTTAGGGCTACAGCAAGTCACCTCACCTTCAAGGGCCTCCATTTACCATCTGGAAAAGAGGGACGGTTGGGAATTAGAAGAACATTTGCTACTCTGCTTAGTCCTCCATGTTATAGTGAGGATGGAATTAAGTAACATTTGTGAATTTTTAAAGATTGTCAAGTGCCATGACAATTAAAGGATTATAATTATTTTCCACAACAATCATAATAAGCTAAATTTGATTCTGGCATCAAAATGCAAATAGCTGAAATTCAATGATGTAGAACAGATCAATTTGGAGAAAATTATATTCCATCTGCATTTCACAAAGCTAGTAGAAATGCACATTGCCACAGCCATGAGAAGGACTAGAAGAGAAAGGTTCATTAATTCAGTAAGTCTGTCCAATTCCTGTTGACTCAAAGGCACAACAATTTATTCATGAATAACTCTGCTGAACTTAGGGGAAGATTCAATGATTAAAATATATTCTTAAAGCCTTTAAGAGAGTTTAAGCCATCATTTGTATTCTAAATAGGTCTCACTGACACAACCTCCTTAAAATGTTAGATCACAAAAAAATCCAAAGCCAGAGGCTGGCTGGCGATGCTCCTGCTGCTTTTATAAAGCTGACTGTGAGATCCTATTCTGCTTAGACAATCTACTAGACAGATAAGTGCACAGACCCAGAGTTTAGGGATCTAATCAAATGAAACCTTCAGTCAAGTTAATCTGATATTGCTTTGGCAATTTTTCTAAACCAGTCCCGAATTTAGATCATCTATCCTATTATCCAACTGTGTCTCCCACAATATGACCCAATTTTGAGTTTGGAAGAAAATGTCCCCTGAGGCACCGTAGTTGCCTATTGTTTCTGTACTGCAGTTGGACTTCATATGAGCAAGCCTTATAAATATCAGTGACCTCGAGTTCCTCTATCTGCCTCTTTCCCCATATAAGACCTTCTACCCCTAACTTGTCTACTGAGTCCCACGCTCCAGCCACTGCTGAGTGTGCCCCTTAGTGAATGCTGCCATTTGGAGGTAAGAGAGAGGCATTATCTCATGGAGCATCTAAAGTCACCAATCTCAAGAAGCCCAAGTGCTGCGTTCTAAACACAGTGAGAACATCATCCTTCACGTGCTGTCTCCTAGCCCCAAGTAGCTTGGCTAGTACTAGAGTGTCCCTGACTTCCTCAGTACTCCTCATACCCCTTTGACTCTTTCTAAACCCCCTGTTGGCTTGGTGGGGGGTCCACCAGGGACTGACTCTCTGGCCATCTTTCAATCTCTCTCTCTCCCAACCCAAGGTAACTTACATCACCAACTCCCCCGACATGCACCAGCTAACAAAGTCCTGTCTATGCAGGGCGTGGGGCTAGACCATCAGTTGGGCCATTAGTTCAGCCAACGGCGAACCCCCAAATCCCATTTTAGACTCAGTTACAACACTCTGACTTTTCTAATTCCAGATTTTCTGTCCCATTGTAACCCATGTGTCAGACCATGTGTTTTGATTTTAAGGCTTGAAAAATATGGTCAATATGGCTCTGGGGCCTTGGACTGGCCTTAAGTTCCTTCTGACTCATTCCCAGCTGTCTTCAAGCTCAGAACAATCTCCTACACCTTCTCTGCCAAATGCCTTCTAGGCCAGGCTGAGTGATGGAGGGAAAGCCTGTGTCTCTTGGACACCCTCAGTGGTCCCCTCCTTGGCCAGAAAGTGCCACACGTCCAGGGGGAAGGCACTGCCCCAAGTCAGAGACCCACCCATCAGATTTTGTTTAGGAATCAAGGGTTTGAATCAGTCTTATTTATTTTCTCTGCACTTGTGTTGCCTAACTTTTTCCACATTATTTCTAATTTGGGCTGTTAGAAAAAGGGAAAGATTAAAAACCACTGATCAAGGGATAATGGAATAGCTTGGTGGTTATTGCATTAAAAACCAGCTGGTGAAAATGGGTTTGGAAGATCTTAGAAGGTGATCTCTGACTCAAACACCATGCAAGTTAGAGCTGGGAGAGTTAGTCCACAGGTCAAGTAGCAGCTGAAACTCAGAAGAATCTGCCCCCCCTCCATAGTGAGAACACATGTTACGCCATGCGAATGCTGTCCTCTCACCTCCCTTTTTGGAAATAGGGGATAGAGAGATAGGAATTGCCTCTGCATTGGGCATCCCAGGCATCCCTCACACGAGGACTTTACCATGTGGCTTTGCCACCCTCTGCTTGTCTGCCTTGTTGAAAATTGTATTTTTATGAGCATATGAATGAATATTTGTTGACTGAACAAAGGAAAGAGAACCGGAATAGAACATATTTAGGCTTACTCAAATGTCTCTTTCTGAGAGTCAGGTATGCATTTATGAATGGGTAAATACATGGATAAATAAATAAATGAACATGTTGCTCATTGAAAGACAGGGGTGATGGAAGTACCCACACCATTTATATTTCTCTCACATGGTCTCTTTGCTGATAATTTTAATTAAGAGGCTTGACGACGCCTATGCTCTGACCTACTGTCTTTTCTACCGTCCTTCTTACATCTCATCTTATCTCTAGTAAGTGCTTCTCCCGCCCTTACACACATATCACGTGGCTACTAAAACAAAAACCACTCATACATTATACAGGGTGAGGAAGAAAAGTAAGGGTGAAAATTTGAAGTGCTTCTTTTCACTTAATAATTTACTCTCAGATCAATAGGAGCTTTGGTACCTCTCAATGTGCTAAGACTGGGAACGTAATTTCCAGCAGTACAGTCTTTACAAAGAGTGGCATTTCATTATTACAATGAATTACATACTAACAAAGCATCTACCATCACCCCCCTTAAAAAGTTCCGCTAATTGGTTCCCATACTTAGATGAGGCTTATTTTTAATCAGTCATATACATTTTGATGTGCCTAGGAGGTGTAACCCACATAATTTGAATGTCTTTGAGACACTTTCAGCATTCACACAGTCAAAAGAAATAAACATTCAACTCTAAATCCTTGAGGAATAATGGAGATTTGAGGCTGGATTTTCTGGATGAGCTAGCACAAGGATTTTGCATTGATAAAACTGCTTTCTCGTGAGAAACTACCACCCTATGCTCCATCCTCTTAGCAATGCAACAAAATCCCTCATCCTGTTACAACTTTTCCAGAGCTAACAAACCAATTACATAACTTCTTCCAGAAGTACACAGGTACATTCAAATATAATAAAGACTTATGGCCAAGGGGTCTCCTCTCTACATTCAACCCACCACCTCATTCAATTCAGATTCTCCTTTCTTCTTTCTCCAAAATAATTTGGAGTCTTAGGATTCAAGGTGGTGGCATACCTTTTCAGCTCTGCTTCCATCTCTACTTACTACATCATTAACATCTGAGCCCACCCACCCAGACTCATCTTCTTGGAGGTCTTCTCATACTACATTTCCTCAAGGTGCACTTCCCTCCAACCCCCCAACCACCCCAGTCACTCTAGTTTGAGTTCCATTATTCCATCTTGCTCCAGAAGGTGACATATTGCCTCTTTTTTGTTCCTCAGGCTTGATTAGCCATACTAACAAGGGAATTCAGGAAGTTCCTCTAGTTTAAGATCAGATATCAAATTGCCCAGCCAATCTTTACTAAAAGTTGCTGATCTTTCTCCCACAAGGATTGACCCAAGTGCTTCTTATTATCCACGCCTGCTTCTATGACTCCCTCAGGGTTGCCTGCTACAGCAGCTTCTCCTACTGCAGTGTAGGAAAAATGTATGCTGGTGGTAGATTCGAAATTATTATGTCAATATATAAATCTTAGCCTCCCTCCACCCTACCCTTTATTTCCCTTAGGACAGTGGTCAGCCACTAAATCAGACATCTGGGGGCTTGAGAGTTGCAAATAATCTCTGCAATTCAGGGCTTGAACTAATAATGCCCTTTCTCTGCCTGAAACCTTGCAAGAACCACTCAAACAACTCAAAGTCCTTCTCTCTTTTTCCTTGCATAGAACTTCCTGTGAATTTCTAATGTTTCCAGTAGCAATCAGCTTATATAAACAGTTCAAAGCTGACTTGATTGCAAACCTCACAGTAGCAGTCATGCTCCAGGGAAGTGGGTCCCAGTTAAAGCAGAGCAACAACTTTGAACTAGTTCAAGTGCATTTATCATTAACTCTGTGCATAAAAGTCTCTTTATTTCTTAAAACAGAATTGGGTGTCTATGAAGATTGCGTTAAAAGCAAATGTCCAATTTGCAATTTTAAGAGAGTGCTCTCATAGGCAGCCTCCATTTAACCAGTTCACAGGACCCTACATTTTTAAATTCTCTGTGTGCCAGTACAACCTGTTCTCTAAAATTGTAATTTTGATGTCAGAGCAGGTTCCACTGTTTCTCTCACATTTTCCTGTGTTAGTCAGTAGGTGTACTAATTCACCTACATTTGTTTGTATTATAATTCCAACAATTTGGCATTCTCAGGAGTACGTGACTCACATCTCTGACTATGACTTTAATCTAGGAATAGAAACACAAGCCTCAGGCAAAACTCCACTTAGGACCCCCAAATATAATCTGCATAAAATTTGATTCACGTATGGCTCTTTCTACATGGTGTTACATTGTAAAAGCATTCTCATCCAACTTTGAAAGAATGGACCTTTAATGAAATTAAGTGTGAGCTCTTCTCCAAACTTGATTCCTCTTCCTCCGGGCCACATAACTAGATAATGTGTCCCGGTCTTCTTTACCAGTACTTTTTTTTTTTTAATGAAAAATATTTTTTCTTTCCCCTTTTTCTCTTTCCCTTACTATTAGGAGGGTCAGAGACTAAGTTCTGCCCAATGAAATGCCAGTAGATAGTAGATATACATCATGCCACGGCTGTAGCTACAAAAACACCCAATTCACCCACTTCCCCTTCTCCTGACTGGATGCAGGTGCTCTCTGCAGCATGAGAGGATGTGTTGAAGATGGGAAGTAGTCCAATCCCCTAAACCTCCCTCTTGGAGAGAGCTGCTCACCAATTTACAACTTTTGGACTTATGTTAATAATGAGTAAACTTCTATCTCATTTGAGCCTTAATATATTTGCTTATTATACTGATGGGTATTATCTTAATTAATGCACCATAACAAGGGTTTTTTTTTTTTTTGATGGGACAGTACATCACACAGAAAACTTCTTAAAATTCTTCTTCAGACATCTTCTCTCTCCTTCCCAACCACTCAATCAGTTCCCTCCTAAAAGTCTGTGGTTTTCACTCATGCAATGGCACATACCACAATTCTCTGAGAAATATAACCTGCCTGACTACTTTTATTTTGAGGGACTGCTTTTGAACTTACCCAAGAATTTTGGTAAATTTAAAACTCTTTTGCCAATGCGTAAGTTTTGTTTAAATAAGTTAAATATGTTCTCCAACAATCTTAGATCAGGCAAAATTTCATCCCATTTCAGACTAAATAGGAGAGATTATTTTTGAAAGTCCAAAATAATCTTAGTAAAATATTGTGGTGCTATTGTACAATCATTACTAGAAAAGTATTACTTGCATTAATTAGGACAGGAGAGATTCTGCTATAGGAAAAAACAAACTCCCCTCAAATCTCAGCAAGGTAATCCAACTAAAGTGTCTCTCTCAAATATACAAAATGTGCTTTGGATTCAGGGGGCCAGGGCAACTGTTCTCAACAGGGTAATTCAGGGATCCAAGCTGCTTTGATTTTGTGGCGCCACCATCTCAATACCTACTTCTACAGGAGGGGGAGAGAAAGCTGCAGCCTCCCACACTGGCAGCTGAATGCCCTAGCCTGTCCTGGCTCATCACTCGTTGGCCACAGTGTGAGTTCAGTCACAACTCATTGGCCAGTACAAGTCACATGGTTCTTCCGAACTTGGAGGAGTAGGGAAATGTAATCCTGCAAGATCTGGGGGAGAGAACTGGATGTGGGTGAGTACTATCTACTGGGAGACTACCTTTCACACTTTTGATTTTGGTATCTTAGGATATATGCTCTAAACTTCTGGTAATTTTTCTGAAAAACAATTCTATCTACTTTCCCCCACTCTAATGTGGATTTCCCAAGTCCAGTTGTGTTACAATGAGTGCAATAAGAAAAATGGTTTCCTTTAATATACACCAGAGCAAAGGAAATAAGAATCCTAGGAGAATTATACCCTCTGTCAGGAAATGTGCTCGATGGGACAGGCCTGGGAGTCCAGTCCAGAGTGGGAGATGGCCAGGAGACACGATATTTATAGCACTATGCTCCTCACCTCTCCTATTCCCAAATCATTTGGCTTCCCACCATGATAAAAATATCCAGAGTCTCCGTCATTTTAGCAAGATTTAATTAAAACTGCCCTAAATTAAGAAAATCCAGTCATTGTTTGCATTCCTAGATGCCTATGTTTAGTTGAGTCGCACGTAAGCAGAGAAATGAAAAATTAGCTTAATTTTTTGGCTGCAGAGAAGAGTGTGAATTGGTTTTCTATCACTCGTGGGGAACATCTTGTGTCTTCCCTCAGCTGGGTTTCTCTGATGGGATTGCTTCTTCCCACCTTCCTGAAGATCTCTGAGGACACACCACAGCTTGGCTGCGACATGAGGAAATCTCAGAGCCCACAGACAGACCAGCACAGGGTGGGTAAGGTCAGGGAGCTCCTCCTTTAGCAGCTATAGAAACTCAGGCTTCTGGGCCACTGAAAGCTGCTGCTGAGTGGGTCTAGAGTAGAAAGGGGGGGGGTGATCACATATGGGCATTTGTCACCCCCAGAACATAACTGAGCACTGGGGAGATGTTCAGAAACGTACTTCTTGTCTCCAAAAAAGTGATTCAGGAAACTTCCAGAATCCCTGGGTAGGTAGGACTGGCTTAGAGAGGCAGTGTGTAAGAACAAATCTCCAGAGTCAGCCTGTCTTACTTTGAATCCCAACTTTGTCACTCTAACCTTAAATGTGTTACTCAACCTTTCTCTGCCTGATTCTCTCAGATAATCATAATACACACTCCTCAGGGTTGTTGTAAGAATTAACCTAGTTCATAGATATGAAATCCTTAGAATAGTACCTTCCTTACTTTTAGTAAGCGCCTGGTAAATGTTAGCTTTTGTTATTCTTACAAAGGGCCCTACATATCTCTGGGAAATCCCACTTGGCTTCCTATGGCTGCCTCCCAGACATTCTATTTCCAGAGTCCCTCTGTTCAAATACTAGAGAGTGTTTGATTTTATTTCAAAACCCACAAGCAGATCACCTATATGGACCAGAATGCAAGCAATGTGCAATCGATGGGGAGGAGGATCTATAAGAAGGGTTGGACCCCAAATATAATCCAGGGTCCAGTAGTGAAGCTGTTGTGGGAACAGCCTAAAGCAGAGAATATTTCAGAAAACCCAGAGCAGACTCAGGCCCTGAAGTAACCATGGAAACAGGAGCCCACGGAGGCATCCAGGGTGTGGGATGGGTAAGTGGGTGGGTGGATGGATGGATCAAACTATGGGCCAGAGATTGGTCATTGGGTGGGTGGGTGTCACTTTCACAGAAGACCAAGGGTCTGCAGGCTGCAAGCTGTGAGCACTTCTGAGCTGGGGGAGGTTTGAGGAGCTGGGAATGTGTCCTAGGGTAGATATGATAAAGGACAAGCAGGCCAGCACAGAAAGAGAAACTTCCCCTGAGCAATTTCTGCCACGTTCCCAGTCTAGGGGGGAGATGGAGGTCAAAGGAGGACAAAGGGAGTGGGTTTCAGCTTCTGCAGCTTCCAAATCTTATTCCTGACTGGAGAGGCTGTGACCTACCTAATATCCTTTCTTACTTGCTGTTTCTGCCTAATTCTCTGCTGCTTTGTAACCAAGAACTGGACTAACACCCTTCTTCAGATGTGCAACATGGATAAATTCAGGGCAGAAAACATTCTGAGAAAAGAGAAAGTCCTACCCAAGGCTGAGAGATCATTCCTGAGTACCAACCCCCAGGGAGACAGCACGCCCTGGGCCTGTGCCCTGAGTGAGGTCTTCCAGATGAGGGCACCGTTAGCCTGCCCATGGTAGGTACTGGTGGGGAGTTTCCTGTGCTCCCTCTTCTCACCTTTGGGGGAAATGGGTGCAGGATGTCCACCAGCTTCTACTCACCCATCAGCAAATGTGGCTACCCCCACTTTCTCTTCTTCCTGTAACCTCTACTTCTCCCAGTTATTGCATTCTGGGATAACTGGCCAAAGGAAGTGATATGAGCAGAAGGGAAGTCTGACACTTTCAGAACTGACCTTGAAAACAGCTGCTGCCACCCACTCCAGGCTCTCTCCCCTCACCTCCCGTCTTGATGAAAAAAAGGATCCCAGGGAAGAATTCTAAAGCCACAGAAGCTAGCAGAGCCTGGGTCCCAGAAGCACCTTCTGGAAGGCTGTTCTCAAACACCCACTGGACTGTAACATGAGTCAGAAATGATTTTATTATGTTAAGTTACTGGGACTGGGGCTAATTGTTATAGCAATTAGCCTGCCCTAAATAATCCTGCACCAAGTTGAAATCTAAGGAGGGCAGATTTTGGGCCCAGGGAGACTTGTTTGAGTCTAAACATCACTTATGGGCAACAATAAAATGAGGTTAATAGTATTACCCAAGTCAGGGCAAGAGGCAAGTAGAGGGCTTAGCACAGAGCTGATGGCTTCACAAGCACTCAATAATTGGGACTAGTCTCAGTTAACATTTAAGCACTTGCTATTTGGCAGCCCTTTGTGCAGCTTTTTTAATGCTTCTTTTTAATTCTCACAATAACCTGTGAATTAGAGATGATCACTGTTTTTTAAGACAAGGAAAATAAGGCATGGAGAAGGTAAGGATCACAGTTAGAAGAGCCAGGCAGTATATAGCTTGAGGGCACATACCTCAGCCAGCACCTGCTCTCTGCTGCTATCCTCCTCAACCTCACTTTCTCTACCAGCTTCATCTTCATCAGTCACCTGCACTGTAGTGGTTGTAGCTGAGGGCCTTTTGGTCAGATGTCTGGATCTGCTGTCTCTCTAGGCACAGAAAGTCAGGGTGGGGAGTCAATCCAGCTGTCAATCACCTGAGAAGGGTCAGAAAAGGAGAGAGAGCGGAAGTCAGAGGATACACCTAAGACAGATGGGGAGGGAACTCCTGGGTCTGCAGGGCTCAAACCACAATGTGGGCTTTCAGAAAAGCCCAGGGTGGAGGGAAAAGGTGCCTGGAGGCCAGGGGCAGGTGAGTGTGAGACAGGGAGGGACTCCTACCTAGAAGCCCTATTGTGCTCTTGTTAATTTCCTTCATGGAGGCCTTAAGTCTAAATTTAACCAATTTATCTTATTTATTCCAGCCTTGCTCTAGGGTGTTCTGGAGAATCTGGTGAAGGAGTTGTACCCAAGGGGGCTTGTAGGGAGGTGTCCCAAGAAGAATGGACTTGGAGCAAGAGACACAAAGGTGTCTGCCAGCCATGGAGTATCTGATCTCTTTTACAAAATCCTCACAGAAGAGTCTTTCAGAAACAACAGCCTTCTTTCCTTTCAACCTACAGGGCCTAAGGGTAGGGTGAGGGGGTGTGCTGTGGTAGAAGAGGGTGGCTTCTGGAGAGAAATCAGCCTTGGCAAGGACTAATATAAAATATTCAGTCCAGCATCCAAAAGCAATGCAAAAGTCACATAAATATTTACTGTGTCTTATTGAGTAAACATTTAATGAGGATCCGCATTCATAATGTGCAGTCAAATTTCTTAAGAACCACTTGTTCTCCAGTTTTTCTCTCAATCTCTCTCACCTGTCTCATTCCTCTCCTCCCTCCAGCCCCCGTCTCCTAGGTCAGGGACTCCCCCTACCCTGCTTCCCTCTTCTCTTTCTGCTCTGCTTTCATGCTCAGAAGCTACTCCGTGCCCTTTCCACTGTAAATCCACCTCGACAGTCCTGTTAGCTCCCTCATCCCTACTCCAGGCATCACCAGCAGCATCACCGAGGCACACGAGCAGATTCCCTTCCACTGAGGTGAGGATACTGACACTAATCCTAACTACAAGTTGTCCCCAAGGCATGTTGGGGGAAGACCTTTGGGAGGAGGGGACTGACAGGAGGTGGTGACAAGGGCATGGAGCCTTTGTGGTATGCCAGTCTGGACAGGAAGTGACCCAAGCAAGAGTTGGGCCAGGGTGGAGCGTTTACTGAGCCAGGATACAGCCCTGACCTTGGTGCTGACTGCTGTCTTGCACTAATGCTGCCCTGTGTCTAAGCTCCCAAAGACTGGCTGCGCAGACTCAACCTTCTTGTCACACTGTAACCACTTAGGGGGCTTTCAGAAAACACCGGTGCTTCAGACCCAACACTAGAGATTCTGGTTTAACTGGTCTTGAGTAAGGTCTAAGGCACCCAAGGGCACTATATTTAAAAGCGCCTCAAGAGATTATAATGCACAGCCAGAGATGAGAATAATTAGGCTAAACAATTGCTCAGGAGAACAACCTGGAGCCTCAGGGGAAAAGCCACAGTCCTTAGCACAGCACCCCCTCTCCTCCAGCTGCCTTCTTCAGGTTTGGCTTATTTAGAGGCAGAACCAAGACACTGGCTGACAGAGTACTATAAGATAGGAGTTGGAGCATTACCCATTCATCAATTAATTACAAATTTAATAACTATTTTATCTAAGTGTGAAATAAATGATAGACACTGACTGAAAGATCCAGTTCAGATTGGGTAATCGGGCTCCTCTGAGGAGGTGGCATTGAAACCGAGCCTGCTGTGTGGAACTACCATGACTAGCAGCAAGAACAATAGGTGCAAAGGCCCTGTGGGGTAAGCAAGGGGCATGTGGCTGAAGCATAACTGATGGAGAAGAGACCAATGGGATGCAATCTTTGAGCTGGGCAGAGGAGCGTCAGGGAGGGTCTTGGAACTGTGGTAAGAAAGTGGTTTTCATTTTCAGGTAGGAAGTCCCTCAAAGGTTTTCAGGAAGGAATGATGTGTCCTGGTTTGTATTTGTAGAGATCCAATGGCTGTGAGGGTGTGGGTGACTGGCGGGGAGCAGGATGGACACCAGTGAAGTGTCCACTCCACACAGGTAGCAGGTATTTCTGTGCTCACTCCCGGGGGAAGACCAGGGCACAGCTCCTCCAGGCTGGGGAATGTAGGTCAGGCAGCCCAGCTCCCTCAGCCAAGCCGCCATGCAGCCCCCTCGCCTGTCAGAGGAAAAAAGCTGACTCTGAGATGTGTGGGCTCAGACATCAGTGTTGGCAGGGGAGGCAGAGATAATTGTCTGGGGTTCCTTTGTCCCCCTTCCCAGGGTGCCTCTTCCCCCACCTTCCACCCCTCCAGGATCTCCCTGCCCAGGGGCAGGCCTTGATGTATGCCGGGAGCAGGCAGCTATATTTTAAGATCAGGGCTCAGACCTCTAAATAAACCATAAACACAGCCAGCTTCCCTGGTACAGAAGGAGGGAGATGGCTCCATTTCTCTTCAACGCATTGACTGGGAAATAAACAAGTGGCTCTGCCTGTCACATGCACTTAACCCTCTGCAAAGGCATCTGTCAGACCCACAGAGCTTCTGCCTCAGCCTTTCCAAGAAATAACCGATGTGCCCCAAACTCCAGCTTCTCTTTGCAGCTTGCAAACCCCCTTTTCTATTCAAGGAAAGGGAGAGATGGGGGCTTGTCCTTAACCCCAGTCTCTCAAGCAAAGCTAACAAAGGGCGGGCACAGACACTGGGCTCCTGAGTGGCATGTTGGCACAGCTCTGTCAGCTGTGGAAGGGGGATGAGGGAGAGGGAGAGAGAGAGGAAGGGAGGGAGGAGGATTAAAAGGGAGGGAGGAGGAGGGGGGCTGGCAAGCACAGGGAGCAGAGCTGAGAGGAGCATGGAGTAGCCCCTTTTAGGGGGATTGTGAGGTGTGAGAGCCCCAAAGCTCCAGGCAGAGCCCTGGTGGTCTGCTGGTGGGGTGGCTGTGAGTGTGGGAGAAAAAAAAAAAAGAGAAACAGAAGGCAGAAGGGAGCTCTCTCCACAGGCAAAATCTCCCACAACCATGAAGGAAAAAGGAGTGAGCAAGAACAAAAACAGACAGGAACAGAAGGAGGCAGGCAGATACGTAAAGCAGGGGAGGGAGGAAAACCCCAGAGTCATCAAACCCAAGCATGTTGGGGGCAGGGAGACCCTCCAAAGGCAGCAGGAGAAGGTGACTTATGCCTTGAACTAAATCAGAAGAGTCAGGAGTGAGGCAGAGGGAATGGGAGTGGCCGAGCAGAAGGATGGCCATGCAGACAACTGATGGCAAAGCATAAAGGGGACTACGAGCTTTGGGGTGGCCAGAGGCCAGAAAGCCCATAGTGAAAGGATGGGTAAAGGGCCAGAGAAAGCAACAGGGCCCACAAAGTTTGCCCCATCAGTGCTGTTGCAAAGGACATCTGCAGCAGCCAGCACCCCATTTCCCCCCCCCCCAAGATGTGGGAGGGGATTCAAAGAGGAGCAGTGATTACGCAGGCACCTAAACACACATACCCTCGGCAAGGGCTGGCACACTCTCCGCAGCACTCCCAGGGGATAAGAGAGGCCCAGGGACCTATAGGCTGTTATGGGGATCTGGCCAACCTAGAGAGGGCACGAGGTGAGCATGCTCTAAAACACAGACCTCTGAAGAAACAGAGGCAAAGGTAACAAATGCAGACTCTTCTCTCCTGTCCTCCCTCCTCCCCCCTTGCTTCACACACATCCCTTTCCAAAAGCATAAGACACAAGAGACTGGAAGCTCATGTGACCCTTCGCAACTTATTCTCTCTACCCACATGTACCCACCTCTCTGGAACCCCCTGTGTTTGCAGAGGCCTGCGAGGATCTGGGTGTGCAGCCCTCTCAGCAGGCAACACACCTGCACACACACCCACACACATATCCAGAGGCAGGTGGCTGGCACAGGGATGGATCTTTTAAGTGTGGCCAGGCCTGGATCCAAAAGCCCCACATGAAGCCACAGAGAGGAGTCCCCAGGCCCTCCAAGGAGCCTCCAAGCACTGGCACTCCACAGAGTACCAGTCCAGCTGGATGGCATTGCCAGGGTCATGTTACAGAAAGGATGGTCTTGCTACTGTGGTTGTGGTGGCTGCCAGAGCCACACCACAATGGCATCCCCAGGATTTCTGACCAAACCTATAGCCCACTAGCTCCTTGCAAAGCCCCCCAACATGCTCACTATTGCAAATGAGGACCAAAAAAAAGGGCTGAGAGCTGGGGGAGGGGTGTGCTCCCCTCCCAAATTCCAGGGACTGTGGGATTTGGATTTAATGTTGGGATTTGAATTCTCAGCTAGGCTCAGTAGACAGTGTGTTAAGGAACAATCCTTAACACAACCCTAGGAGATCAAGAGGTCATATCTGGGCTACAGATCTCCTAGGGAAAGAGGAAACAGGTACTGAGCACCTCTGTGCTGGACCCACACCCACGTACCTGTTGTGTGTGCACACACACCATTCTCCTTCGGTTAAACACAGGGAGCCTGCCACAGTCCACTGACTACTATGCTGTATACAGCACTCTGTACGCACATCACACTGACACGCCTTAAATTCCCCTGCTCTGAGATGCACACATCTCCCCACCCTTCAGAGATCCCATTTTTATCAACACTGCACACACGGCACTGAAAATCCCTGCTGTCCTCACACTGTACACACACAGCTCCCTGCACTCTTCTAAAACCTGCGCCTCCACCTGTGCATAAACCGCACCCACACAGAGCGACCAAAGGGAACTCTGTGACTCCCTCCCACGCTCGTGGGGACTGTGCTCCTGCCCCTTGAAAGCTAAGGGGAGCAGGACCCCGGGTTTCCTTGCCCCCTCTTCTCTCCCGCTCCAACAAGCCCCCGGGATTCAGGAAACTTTTTATTAGGTCCCTAAAAGGGGAAACTGGAGTTCCTCCCTTCCTGTCATTTTCTGGGACTCACGCAAGCCACCCCTCCTTCTTAATTCTCCCCGGTACAGCTCCTGGGAGAAAGGTCACCGTAGGCAGCCCCCGGGCGCAGGCAGGAGGGAGGGTGGCAATAACAGCTGTTGCCGGCGGATGGGCGGGGGGCTGGGAAAGGTGTCGAGACGGAGGGCGCACAGGGGTCGCCCTGACACGCCGGAGGAGAGCAGAGCCGCCGAGGCGGCAGCATCTCCCCGGTCTGGCGCGGTGACCGCGCCCGGGGCTGGGGCGCGCGGAGCTGTCCGTTCAGCACCACCGCGCCGCGCCCCAGCGCCAGGGCCCCCGCCGGGAAGCGCCCGCTCAGCTCCGGCTGCGGCTCCCGAGGGCGCCTGCGGCGCGGGCTGTTGTCTCTCCCCGGGGCTGGGAGGCGCGCGGGTCGAGAGAAGGGGGTTCTGCGGCGCGGCGGGGCCACGCAGCCACCTGTGAGCCTCCCGCAACTGCGGGCGGCGGCGGCGGCATCTCTGGCCGGAGACTGGAGGAGACGCTCGGCGGACCCCGCCCGCGGGCCCGCCGGGCACACACACAGGCGCACACACACTCGCACCCGCGCGCACACGCACAGCCAGCCGGCGGCGGCAGCTGCCGCGATGCTCGCCAGCAGGTCGGGGAAGTTTCCCGCCGGCCTTGGCCGCAGGTCCTGGTGCTCTCAGGTAAGCGCTTCCTGCACGCGCAGGGTTTGCCGGAGCAGCTCCGCTGGGTGAGGCGCGGTGCACGCGGCTGCAGGGCAAGGCGCCAGGCTGGCGGGGAGGCCTGGGGCAGGGCGGGGGTGGGGGGTGGGGGCGAGGGGCTTCAGTTGTGGAGGCTGGATGCTGGGGACGCCAGGACGACCCCCCTTTCCTGTAGGCCGGGTTTACGGACTCTGGCGGTGAATTTCCCCGCCCCCCTCCCAAAGCCACGCGCCCCCCAGCTTGGCCCTGCCTTGCCGGTGCGCATCCCGGCTCCAGTCCCGCCTGTCTGCGGCTAGCGGGCGGGGGCGTCTTCTTGGCTCGCCCACCCGCAAGGTCAGCCCGCAGGCCCCTCGGGCCTCTGAGTCTCGACCCCCCGCAAGCCTGAAGCTACCTACAGGACCTCAGGCGTAGAGGTGGAGGCGCGGCCATGCTAAGAGCAACATACCCACTCCACGAGCCTTACTTGGGAGGGGACCAAACCCGACAGAACCGCCCCACTCCCCATGTTAGTGCCCTTCAGCAAGCAGAGACCTGTCTGGAGAGAACTGGTCCCTCCAGAAAAAGGTGGGGAGAAAGAGAGGAGCGCTCCGGGCCCTGGGTGTCCTGCGCTCATTCGACGCGGTTCCCTCCGCTTCCAGGTGTAGCGCCCCCGCGCGGCCAGGGCGGCTGGCCGTCTCCAACATGACTGGCCAGAGCCTGTGGGACGTGTCGGAGGCCAACGTCGAAGATGGAGAGATCCGCATCAACGTGGGCGGCTTCAAGAGGAGGCTGCGCTCGCACACGCTGCTGCGCTTCCCGGAGACACGTTTGGGCCGCCTGCTGCTCTGCCACTCGCGCGAGGCCATCCTGGAGCTCTGTGATGACTATGACGATGTCCAGCGTGAGTTCTACTTTGACCGCAACCCTGAGCTCTTCCCCTATGTGCTGCATTTCTACCATACCGGCAAGCTACATGTCATGGCGGAGCTGTGTGTCTTCTCCTTCAGCCAGGAGATAGAGTACTGGGGCATCAATGAGTTCTTCATTGACTCCTGCTGCAGCTACAGCTACCATGGCCGCAAAGTGGAGCCTGAGCAGGAGAAGTGGGACGAGCAGAGCGATCAGGAGAGCACCACGTCCTCCTTTGATGAGATACTAGCCTTTTACAACGATGCATCCAAGTTCGATGGCCAGCCCCTGGGCAACTTCCGCAGGCAGCTGTGGTTGGCCCTGGACAACCCCGGCTACTCAGTCCTGAGCAGGGTCTTCAGTGTTCTGTCCATCCTGGTAGTATTGGGGTCCATCATCACCATGTGCCTCAATAGCCTGCCAGATTTCCAAATCCCCGACAGTCAGGGCAATCATGGTGAGGACCCTCGATTCGAAATTGTAGAGCACTTTGGCATTGCCTGGTTCACATTTGAATTGGTGGCCAGGTTTGCTGTGGCCCCTGACTTCCTCAAGTTTTTCAAGAACGCCCTTAACTTTATTGACCTTATGTCCATTGTCCCCTTTTATATCACCCTTGTGGTGAACTTGGTGGTGGAGAGCACACCTACTTTGGCCAACTTGGGCAGGGTGGCCCAGGTCCTGAGGCTTATGCGAATTTTCCGAATCTTAAAACTGGCCAGACATTCCACTGGCCTCCGCTCCCTAGGGGCCACCTTGAAATACAGCTACAAAGAAGTAGGGCTACTCTTACTCTACCTCTCTGTGGGTATTTCCATCTTCTCTGTAGTGGCCTACACCATCGAAAAGGAAGAGAATGAGGGCCTGGCAACCATCCCTGCTTGCTGGTGGTGGGCAACTGTCAGTATGACCACTGTGGGGTACGGGGATGTGGTCCCAGGGACCACTGCAGGGAAGCTGACTGCCTCTGCCTGCATTCTGGCAGGTATCCTGGTGGTGGTACTGCCCATTACCTTGATCTTCAATAAGTTCTCCCACTTTTATCGGCGCCAAAAGCAACTTGAGAGTGCCATGCGCAGCTGTGACTTTGGAGATGGAATGAAGGAGGTCCCTTCTGTCAATTTAAGGGACTATTATGCCCATAAAGTTAAATCCCTCATGGCAAGCCTGACAAACATGAGCAGGAGCTCACCAAGTGAACTAAGTTTAAATGATTCCCTACATTAGTCAGGAGGACGTGTCATCCTCAAACACACATTATTGAGCTGCCTCTTGTGCCTCCGGCACAATCTTGGCACCTTAGTGTTATGGCAGGAGTACGCCCAGCCCCAAAGGAGAGAGATGCATGGGATGTGCACTCCAGGTTGCTTCTGCAGTATTTAGAATCATATTTAGAGGGTGGTGTGCCTGACACCATGCCTTTGCACCTTTCAACGAAATGATACTCACTGGTCTTTGCATCGTGGGCATAAAATGTTCACCTTTCTGCCTGATGAGTACCTAGATTGCTAATTGTTCTGTTCATTGTGTACTCTATTCTAGTGCTCGTGGCCCAGTACTGTCTATGAGTTGTTTGTGCTCCTGTTTTCTGGGGTTGTTATGTGAGTTCTGTACAAAGACCTCCTCTTCCCCCAAACACACGTCTGTCTAGTGGGAACAATCAATGGGATGAGACTTTGCTCACAGACATGTGAAAACAAAATCTCAGTTCTTTATACATTTCTTTCATTTAGTTTTAATACTAAAACAAAGAGAATGTGAAGTTAAGCCCACATGACGATTGCAAGTCTATAAGTTGTTTTTATAAATGATCTGTAGCTCCGTGGCTTGCATGGATGCACTGGCCACCTTTAGAACGATATATTCTGATGTTCATCTTGTAAATGTTGCTCTTTAGAGAATGTTAACTCAGTTAAACATGTAGTGAAGAGCGACAGTTTTGTTTTTGTTTTTTTTTTTTTCCCTGAGAACAGATGCATTAGGGACAGGAGCTTCAGTTAAACATAGGACAAACTGCAGGATGCTTGAAGAAGTTAGTATAGGCTGCTAACATTTTGTTTCAGGTCAGGACTCTGTCTTTTGTAGGGTGACTATGGAAACATTTATATCTGACTGAGGTTCCTGATCTAAGTCACTTGACAAATTTTGCTGTGTCTTAGATATTAGCATGTTTTTTAAATATTTATTTTTTAAAGGTGTTTAGAAATAAGGTCGTGTTGTCTTTCTCTACTAAAAAGAGGTTTACTGTTGTATTGTCTCCCTGAGGCCAACATTGTTGGGTTCCTAGCAAGGGCAGTAGCTTAGAAATGTTTGTTGCCTGCTCTGAAAGTTTATATAATAAGAGCCCTTTTATTTCCAAGCAGAATTTACTTAATTTTGCTTCTAGGATACAGTATAATATATATGATGCTCTAATGGCCTGGAATTCCTGGTTTGACATGGAAATCTGATGGTGTGAAGGGTGTACTCAAAATACAGTCATGCATAAAGGTGGTGCGGTTTGCCCAGGATGGAGCTATTGCAGTTTTCATTTCTATCTCAACTGCCTTTTGTTGGGGGAAGGTGAATAGGGGCCAGAAGAAAGGAAAGAGTTGTAAAATAAAAACTGCCACTTCATAAAATGTCATAAATGACTGCAAACTTCTTGATAAGTCTAATGCTATTGAAAAGACCTTTAAAAGTCTAAACTTGTATTGAAGTCTGAGAACACTTTCCTTCTCAAAAAATGCCTTTCCTTGTCTTTGGTTAACTAGTATGTAACATTGTGAAGAGGAACCTGGGCCCATTGTAAGATAGTTCTCCATTATCATCTAGGTAATCAGATGGCTTTCCAGTTGGCTTCCATTATTGTTCAATCTTTGAAAAAGCTGGAGAATGCAGGGGTCTAAGCACAGAGTTAGCGCAGGCTTTTTATCCAAGGCTTGGGCCTTTCCTTAAGAGGTCCATTTTGTGTCTTGGTTGGGGATAACATGTACTTCAGTGGAGTGATAAGGATCTTGTCAGAAGCTTTGTGTATTTGTATTTGCTATGCTACTTACAGAGCAGATGATTTGTTGGGTGAATGCACTAGTCAGTTATGCCCTTGAATCCCCTGTTTAAATTCTTCCATTAGACTGGAGGCTCAGTGGGCAGGGAGCTAGCCACCTCCTAGTGCCTGATAGTCTACTCTCTATATCTGTTTCTCCAAAGCATCAGGAAAGAATGAGATGACTTGGGAGGAACTTGCCACCAAGTCGATGAGCAAGGTTATTTCTCAGAATTTGTACTTGGAATTGGCTGATGTTTCTAGCACCAGAAGGCAGAGGATTCACAAATCATCCCCTGCTGCACTGAGGGCAGGTGATAGTATAAACTTGTGAGGACTGTTCAGTTTGCCAAGACTGATGGTGTTGGGTCACTGCGCATGGTATCCATGGTCACTGACCATAAAGCTTGTAAAAGATAGAAACAAGACAGAATAATTCAGTCACTCTCACAGCTAGTTTTCTAAACAAGCGAGTTTTACCACCATAAGAGATCACTCTAGTGGTTACTTTTTGCAAACATGAAAGCTGGAAACTTGACTTTTTATTTTGGTAATGACTTGCATTTATTTGGTGCCTTTCATTGGGGGAAATCCCAAAGTGCTTTAGAGACTGTCTTTTTTAACATCTCTTGTATATATAAATACTTGTATAAAATATTACTTTGCCCATCCTGGAACTTCTGTCACTTCAGAGCATGAGAATCTCCTAATAGCATTGAGTTCTCCACGTGTTGGTTTCAGATGAGGGCAAGAGAAGACAACCCAGCTGGCTTGAACAGTGTATTTAATTCCCACCAAGGATGGAGACTGAATTGTGACCTAAGGAGGAGTAACCTTTCTCTACCCCAAATTACCATCAGAGTATGAAGTTCACAAGTGCTCTCAATCGGGCTTTGACTGACCTTGGTAGTAACAATTTATGTGGCAGTTTCTTCTAGTCCCTGAAGCCAGTCAAGGAAGGTCTGGTTGATTTTCTGCCATTTCTGGAGTTAAAAATATGAATATGAGTTTACATCTTTGGCCATCAGGTTGTCAGAATGACCCACTAACCTCTTTTAAGGGGGTACAGCAGAAGCTTCAGATCATTTATTTCCAACTGTTGGCTTGAAAGCAGCTTCATTCCCAACATATTTTCAATGCCCTTGGGACAAATATTTAGGTCTGGTTTTTCTCATAATATATGTGATGAGCATTTGAAAGTGCCAGTTGGGAAGTGAAACCATGTCTTTAATGCATGGATGCATACTGGTTATGGGTCTGTATTTTCTGCCAAACCCCCCATTTCCTGGGTTTGCTACTGAGGAGGGGCATGTTGTAATGCCGAGCTTTGTAGCTCATAAGGTAGTAATTGGTATTTAATATTTAGATTTGTTATTTCTACTTATCTTAGTGTTCAAATAATTGAACTACCTGCTAATTCTTGCCTCATTTCAAAGAAAATGATTTGTTATGCACTTTGGGATAACAGTGATCTGTACAGGCTGTGTTATCTGCTTGAAGGCTTAACTGGTATTTCTTGTATGTTTTAACAGCATGACTTGTTACAGAGTTGTAATTTAAAAAATTGAGAACGCTGTTATTTGTGATGTCAGTTTTAACACTCATTAACACACTACCATGCAAGCACTGGCGCAGGCCCGGCTGAACCCTTCTGTCTTCTGACTGCACTTGAGTCTCCGTGTCTGGACTTGGGAATGAAGAACACTGACATACTCAGGACTCCAGTCTCCAAGAGTATGCAGATTAAATAGAAAAAATTATTTATGCTTTCTTAAGTCTTCAATCACATACAGAGTGGCAAATATGGGGCATTTAAAGTTGGGGGCCAGATTCCCTGAAAAAGGCTGGGCTTTTTGAGCATTTTTGAGAAAAGAAAAGCTCTTATTTTCTTTAAGTATATAGAGGTGGCTCCCCTTTTTTCTACCAGAAACTAGAACCCCAGATTGCTTTTTGGAAATAATGGTCATTTATTTTTGGAGCTCTCATGAAACAGACACCCTGACAGGATTTTCCTCTTTGATACTATCTTGCTCAGCACAGTTGAGGACGTGTCCGTGGACATGTCTGTGCCAATTCCACGGATCCTGTGTCATTCTCTTGTAGCCAAAGTACCCTCTGACAGTGAACTGGGGACTGGGTGACCTGAGTGTCCTGGCTGGTTTGATGTGAATGTTGCTGGAGGAGACATAAAACCTGCCTCAGCACCTGCTTACCTGGCAGTGACTTAGACAATGAGTCATTCCCAAGGCTGTGGTGAATCTGCAGGGAGGTCACTGGGCTAAGTGGGATTTGCTCTGATTTCTGCCTTCAACTCTGCCATCTAGGTGCATCATTTAGCCTTCCTGAGCCTCATATCCCACTGCTACAAAATAAGAAGGTTGATTAGATCATCCTAAAGCCCTAAAGCCCTTCCCAGTTCTTCATCTCAATGCAAGAACAGAATTTGTGTGCCCTTCTATATCCTCGTTATAGTGGTGAGCAGATCCAATATCTTTAATTTATTCTTAAGCAGAGCAGAGGGATTGCTCACAAACAACCTTCTATTTGCTTTCCTTTCTTTCTTTAACAGCCAACTATCATAGACAACAATTTCAGAGACAGCAGTACTGGAGCTGTGCTTCGGCAGCTGCTGTCTGAGCCAGGTGAATAGTTTTAAAACAATCAACATGCGTCTCCTTTGGGTTTTAAGCTATTTACACCTAATCCGAATTCTTGCTATTAAAAATCATTAGACAGAGGAAAATCACATTGATCCCATTTGACTTCAGGGCTAACTGCTGGCCATTTATGTTCGTTTCCGTTGTGAAGCTTAATGGACCCCCATCCTGTTCCCATGAGCTTTGGGGCCCCACTTAGGGCCCCTGAGTAGAGCCAGGGAGATCTTCCATCCCTCACTTAATTCCCACTGAGGTGGGGGCATCTGCACAAGTGCTCTTGTGTGTAACCTGCAGAAGGGTGTGGTGTCCTGTGTTAACCTGACTCAGGGATGAAGAGGAAGGCACTCAAGGTTGCCACAAGCCTTGAATTCCCACCAAGTGGGGCAAAGCATGTCTCCTCTCTCCAGCAGGGGTATAAATGAATGTTCAGGGATATTTTGGAGCCAGAATGCCTTGCATCTTAAAAGGGAAAACAAACACCTCCCTTTTGAGGGAAAGCTTAACTACTGCAGTCACATGGTTATTATCTCCTTTTATTTTTAGGAGAACTTTTAACTAGCGCTTCTACTCAAGGACTTAATCTGAATGTTACAGCCAATCGATACTGCAGATCTGAAAATCTGCCACATTTTCCTCCTTCTGTGACCTCATTTGTCA